GTCTCTGAGTTTTTTTTCAGGCGTATTATAGGCGTACAACATCCTCGTATATATTTGCATCTTCTGTGCGTTCAGTTACCGATGGTTCAGGGATAGAATGCTCGCTAACCAGGGACGCTCGCTCCTATGTCCAGGTAATAATAAACCCGGTAAATAGGTAAGCATGAGCGTGAGGCCAGCGGTCCTACCTCTCTAAGAATAACATTCCTACCATAGAAACTTCAAAGCTCACAGCTTGAAGTCCTACGTTCTGATCAAAATGCAAAGAAATAAAATTAAAATAACAAATAATAAAATAATATGGAATTTATGCTACCAACGAATAATTTTTTCAAACAAATGTAAGGACGAGTTCGGTTGACGAAGACAGAATCTCAAGAATTATTGTGTGACTGACTGGAACCCTCGTCAGCTTCACAGTATTATGTATCTAGCTAGGCTTCAAAAACATTTGCAATACACAGGTGGATTTATACAGATCTGTAGACAACTTACACTGCCTCACACGAATTAGTGAACAGGGGAATTGAAATCGAAGTTAGCAGTTACCTCATCATCCTGATAGAGGCACATGTGAATACTAAGTCCTCCAAGAGGAAGATCTTTTTGTGGTATTTGAAAAAAAATAGTCACCTTATTATTCTGATTTACTTAACCAGAATAGTCTAGTGCGCCTTAGTCCGCCATATGTAAAGTAAATGACTATGAAACCCATTGGTTTCAAATATGATCTGATTGGGCCAAAACCAGAAATTTTCAAATTCTTATCCAAGTAGAAAGCAAGAAAAAGCTTTTACATGACTACTTTTGCCTTTACTGAAGTCTGACTATTTCCAATCATTTTATCTGGGGTTTTACTTTTTTTATTTTTCATTTTTTTTACTTTTTTTCCTTCACGTTCCCCAGTGGAACATAGGGCTTCAAGCTAGCGGCTTGAAGTTTCTGTAGCAGTGTTTTTATTTTTACAGGATGAGGTTGCTAGCCTCATGCCCAACCTTTCCTCTTTACCAGCATTATTTCTGGCTTAGGAGTGAGTCGGCTGAGGATAGAACCCCGAACCATGTGCATGGTCGGCGAGCGTCCTAACCGCTATGCCACCGACGCTTTCGTGCACTTTTATTTTTGTTATATTCCAAAATGTCCTGATCTGCAGCTTTTGGTGAATCCGTCTTTAAAGTAATGCAATGGCATAAAACTAGATCAACCTTCAAATTATTATCTCTAGACATCTTCTTTTCGTAGTAGGATAAGTGTATCAAGTCCACCCTTGTAACTATTAGCAGTACTCTTATGACTTTGAATATATATATGTATATGTATCAGTAATACTTGTTATTCTCACTTTTATGTTTCTTATCATGTCTCGCAATGCTTAGTGTTTATCTTATCCGTTTGGTCCACGTTCAGCAGGATGTACGCTTCTCCTCTCCTTTTTTGTTACACTGTATTTTATCAGTCGTTGAATGAATTTAGGTTTGATTTGTCTAACGTCAATCACCAGTGTGGAATTCACTTAGTTATAAAGAAAGATAATAAAAAGTCTAGTATAATAAAAAATTCAACTGTTAAGACGAGAATATATTTGAATACGCTTGAATTGCTATGCACAGACGATAAATTTTGCTTATCAAAATCGTTTGTGTAAAAAGCGGAAAACTTGGGGAATATCAACTGAAAGACTGTCAATCAAGATAAGACTAGAAGTACGATTGCATAACATGTATATTGCACAGAATTATATTTCACTAATAAGCAGACTGTCAGCTATGCTATCATACTTTTATCGCTGTAAATAACATTTCTTGACCTAAAAGAACAAGTTTTTCAGTAGGGCTCTAATTTAAATTGCCGCCAGTCGGTCGTGTAATCGTGTCATTTTTGTTGGACTGATGAACACTGAATGACACTGGTGTGTGGTAGGTTTGATACAAATGTTCAGACTGGCTAGAATTTAAACCTTTTTGACATACTAAGATGCGAGTTTGCAAATAGTAGTGTTCTCTGAGCTGGTTGGTGTGATTGCGAAGCTTTCTTCGTCCTTCTGGGGAACCAACATCTTCAGCGCATCCTAGATTCCATTGCTGGTCACCAGTTAAATACTAACTAGATGCCCAGACATCGTCGAAGCATCTGTACAGGAAGCCGACATTTCAACCTGAGAACGAACACTTCGGTCTAATCATTCGATGAAAAAATCTAAAATTAAATTAAATTAATGTGACCCGTTGCACAAGAGGTGGCTCAAGTGTCTCAAATAGGTCTACTGGATAACGCTTTGGCGATATTTGTTAAATTCTAAGTCCAACTTCCGAATTCGCCCTTTATATTTTCAAAAGTGGCCTTTGCTTGAAAGATCCTTGGAACCAAGTATCCAGCCCTCTGTTTCCATCTGAGTCATATTATAAATTCTGATATTCAGCGTCCGACGTTAACATTGATTGGAGGTAAATCGGCAGGGGGAAATATCTGTTAATCACCAAGCAACTCCAACATTCTAAGCCGCTACCTCATCGTTCTCTTCAATCAAAAAGGGTCTATATCTGTGTTTTACCTGCTGCCAAATTAATGTGAACAATTAGGAATATAAAATTAGATCAAATTTGGAAGCATTTTTTACCAATATTAGGTAAATGTTTTGAAACAACCAATAATGAAGTCAGGAAGCCAAGTAGATTAATATCGCGTAAAAGGGTTAAACAGCGGAAGAATTCATTCATTGTTGAAATTGCTTTCAGGCCTGCCATATGGTTGCTTTCAATATGGAATGATAGTAGTTATCAGGAAAATTGAAGAAGGCGCAACCACTATTACATTTTATTCTTCTGTGGAAAAATGATTATAGACCTACGATCCGTTCATCAATGAAATAGATAAATTTAAGTGTGTAGTTTAGTCACAAGACTCCCAATTACCAAAGAGGAAAAACAAAGAAGGCAACAGGCTGATCACTTAAAAAGGACTCTTGAATCGATCGTCACATGCAACTCAACCAAAATAACCACCAACAGCATACAAAGAACTGCTAGAGGACACCAGTCCTCCTACAAAAGACAAATCTTGTGTGCAGTCATACTACTGAAAACTGATCCAGATACCTTAGAGGACATGATAGCGCCACTTTTGAAAAGTGTTTTGGAGGAGGAAAAGGTACCTACTGATTAAAAGAGGGGCTGATTCGTCCAACTACCGAAGAATCGCGACTTTAGACTCTTCAAGAACTGGCTTGGAACCACGCTCTTGTTTACGCCAAGCAAAATTTTATGTTCCTCCGTACTGAAGAGACCAAAAGATATTCTAGACGCAAAACCTCACCAAGAACAAGCTGAATTCAGGAAAGTTCCATCATGTGCTGATCTAAAAAACCTCTACGCATGGTCATCAAACAAAGCATCAAGTGGCAGTCAGATGTCACTCCATCTCAACTTCGTCGAACCTGAAAAGGCCTATGATAGGGTAGACCATGAGGAAATTTGGAAAATCCTTCAACACTACTTGGAGAAGTGACCTAAATCTTAATCAACCTCATTCAACAGATATACGACAATGCCACATGTCAGATGATCCATGAAGGAAAACTCAGAGGAACGACTGAAGTGGAGACAGGAATGACACAACCCTGACCACTATCATCGATGATATTCCCAATTGAGGTTGACTGGAAATATGCAGAAGACCATGCGTAGGGAATGATAAAACAAGAATACATTGTACTTATAAGAAGACTCTAGAAGATCTGCACATCACGGACGACTTGTGTCTAACATCATATAAAACCGAAGATTTACAAGAGAAAACAGACAAACTGACTGAAGAAGCAGGCAGCGAAGACCGGACTCCTGGTGAAGATATAAGAAACGGTGGTGGCGAAGACAACCAACCAACAACAACAAGCACCAATCATTATCAGTTAAATAAATTTGAACGGGGTCGCTTCTTCACTTCTCTGGGAAAAATAGGTTCAACTATAAGCAGAACGGATGAGGACGTCAAAACCAGAATCAGGAGGGCGAGATAGATATCCATCACCTTGAAATCAGTTTTGAAATGTTCTGCACTTGGCACAAACAACAAAATCCAGATTTTTCAACACCAATTTTAAACCAGTCAGTTCTCCTTTATGAGTCAGAAACTTGCACAGCACGTCAAGGATAGCATCTCTAACAGTCTACTGAGGGCTTTCATTAACATCTACCTTCAATGGCTCCGTACTCGAGATCAGATAGCTAGAACAAAGTTAGTAACAAGAAAGTCTGCGTACTCACTAATCACGAGCCTCTTGCTCGATCAGTGCTCCGAAGAAGACGGAGATTATTCGGGCACTTACTCAGGAGACCAACCGTTGAGTGATATCGTGAACGAAACCATCGCCCCAGTGTAACCGGAATAGGAAATGACGGGCTTGGCGTGGCTCCAGGAGTGACATTTAGGAGATGGTGTAACGCTCAGATGAAAGGCCACGGGTAATCATGGGGCCAACTAAAGAGGACGACAGAGAACCATACAATGTGAATGAATGCATGATGTTGAAGTCCTATGTTCCACTCAGAACCCAAGGGAAAAATAATAATATAATACAACTACCTAACTCTGCTACGGCAAACAGAAAGCCTAGGTAAGTTTTTAGATGTAGAAATTCCCTGTGTATCTACTGGTTTTCTATCTATGTAACTCATAGAAAACAGCATGACATCCCAATGATTTTTACACACTTTAGATGAACAAATGTGATAATACTTTTATTTATGAGGTATAATATAAGTTCTGAAACAACATGTAGACTCACAAACTACAAAGTTGAGCTTAGACCAACCGACTACAACTTAACCATTATTTAAAAAACATTTATTTTGGTTAAGTGAGCTTTAGTCATAAAGGATTTTCTCTGCAAATTATTCCACTAGTCTGGATAGCTAAGCAGCACAAAACATTTGACAGTGAGAAAATTAATTTTTGTTACATGCTAAAGCAACAACTGGTTTAAAATATCCTCGAAATGTATGATTTTTTTCCCTATAAAAGTTATTCTATTGGTTGTTTTCTGACCAATCAATTTGTGACTGTGCACCATGCCAACAGACTTTCTTTTTACTAGAAAGTAGTAGATCAAGGTGAATTACATCTGTGTATTCTAGTACCCTTTAAATTACTGGAGGTGTTTATTCACACTTAAGCAACATACTTATGAATAATTGCTAAACGAAACATTTCAGTACATATAAAAATTGAGGAAAAAGCATCATTCACTTGCAAAATGTTTCATAACACTACTGATCAGTAGAGACATCAACATACATCAACAGTCATAATTCGTCATCATCTCTCTAACAATGCCACTGACTGGACCTCATGAAAATTTGCGTAACTTCTGCTCACGTATATCACGCTATATACCAGAACTTCATCCAGAACCACCGCCTATAATTAAAAATTATGGTCGTTGTCCATATTTTTATAAATTACGTCTTGGGACAAGAGATTTAGTTGAAAAGTACAATGGGGATATGCTGCCGTCTATGCAAAGGTTATCATCTGTACCAAGAGATTCAATCGGCACACATTCTGATGATATGAAAATTCAAGATTATCGATGGCTTATGAATAAAAAGTTAACATGCATACTTTTATGGTTAGGTGTTATTATCTTGATAGTTGGAATTATTGCCCTACAGATTGCAAGTTTTTTTCAACACAAACGACAGTAAGTATTTATGCATGAAGTTGTTTTTCGTTTTGTTTTTCCTCATACATGGCAACATATTATTCTGTAGTTAATTAAACGATTAAGCCTTCATCACAGGTATGGAGGTGAGTCGGTGGCACAGTGGTAGAATGCTCACCAACCACGCATGTGGTTCGATCCCCAGCCGATGCTAAGCCAGTACTAAGACTGGTAAAGAGGTAAGGTTGGGCACGAGGCCAGCAGTAACCCCATCCCTTGAAAATAAACACCAGTGTTGCAGAAACTTCAAACCTCTAGCTTAAAGCCGTATGTCCCACTGGGCACGTAAATGAATTAAGCAACAAACAGGTAAATACTGAAAAGAAGAACACACTCTGCTCTTTTTGGATGCCTGACAGAGACAATGCAGTCATTTCTTCTTTTATATCATTGTCCATCACGTTTCACTTACACAAGTAGCACATAGATAGCTATGCGTCTTCATGTTCCAGAATGTGTAACGTACCGTTCAGTTAGATTTCATATAATATATTCTCTTGATAAAGACCGAATTTGCATTATAAAAATGATGATATCACTCCATTTCACAGGTCCTCGTCAGCTGATTATAAACTGATGCTAACTTAAACTAAAAATTGTAGTGTTTAGGTTTCGGATGAGTTAATTTTTCATAATATATTCTCTAGTACCATTCAAATATTCAAATATCTTAATTGTATCCCTTTATTTATTCTGAAAAACAGATTTATTGAGAAAGAATGTATTAAAAACCTACCTTGCTATCTATCGTAGGTACATGTAATGTCAAAGGAATCATAATTGCAATTATGGATAGGATTTTATTTTGATAAAATCACACAGTAGTGTTATACAGTAATATTTACTGATGACCACACGTTTCGAGCACAAATTATCACTGCTCATAATCAAATCAAGGCACTACTCACACAACTTGCTTGCTTCATTCATAAACATGAGTAAAACTGATTAGACATTTGAATAAAATCAATATAAGTAAGACTATATTCTGAAATAATAATATTTAGTGTTATTAATCGAATACAATCAAATGGGAGATAAGATGCTGTAATAATGAAAATAAGTAAACTGTTTGAGTGTTATAATATGAATTGAATACATTTTAACACCAGTTATTATCCTCTTCTGATTTAACTGGTAACAATATCTCCTGTATCTCTGGTATTTGAATTGAGTCAATCTTACTGCATGTGTTGGGTGTAGACTCTATGATCCAGGCAGGATTCAGTTATCAATCTCTCTCGCACTTCACCTACCTATATTACTTTGTTGCATTTTGACTCTCCCCCACTCACCCTAGTGTGTGGTTGTGTGTTAATGAATGCATTGCAGTTGCTGTTGTGTGTTTTCTAAATGATTTATCTTCGTGTGATCAATCATCCTAACCTTAGCTAAACTCTTATATTCTGACAGGCAATCTCACTAGCCCTGATCTACTTACTAGTTTGAGTGACCTATACAGTTGACTCAACTCACTGTCATTGCAAAGTATTTTGTAAACTGTATTATATTGTTTAATTGGGTTAACCTACAGGTTCCTTTTACCTACGTATGGAGCTTGTCCTACCTGAGTGAGTTGGCAGTTCTGGATGCCACCCTTATTGTGTGTGGGTGCCTTGATATGATTATGAGCAGTAATAGTTTGTGGCCAAAACGCGATCATCAGTAAATAATACTGTACAACACTGCATGATTTATCAGAATAAAATCTTTTTCCATAATGGGATTGAAATATCTTATTTTCATCACATTATAACCCTCTTAATTTCAGGTAGCCATTAGTTGATGAGAACCTGTGAAATAGAATGATACTTTTTTATATAAGTATGACACTGAGGCTTCATGGTAAAGTATAACTCCATTAAAGATAAGATTTTATTTTCTTAAATCACACAGTATAGTGAAAATATTCACTCAGACATCTATAAAACAAAGAAAGGAACATCCTTTTCGAATAATTCCTCTTCTGGCTCTACAGTTATATGCATATATATATATATATATATATATAAGAATATTAGTGTTTTTTAAATAATATCGATTTGTAAAGTAAGATCACAATGGAATTACAGTTCATTAAAGATGCCTAAATTATAATAATAGTAATAAAGATATAGTAGCAAATAGAATATCAACTAAAATTAGGAAAATTCCACGAAAATTCAGGATCATTCAAACCTAGATGGCCAGCTGGGTAAGGAGAATGTCTGAACTAACTTCTTTTGGATGCATAAATTAGGCTTGTTTATATGGATCCCAATAGCCAGACTCAGCAATATTTAGTAGTCGAACTCTTAAGGCAAAATTGAGATTCGTAGGTATGCGGTGGCCCTGAAAGCATGGTTAACGTCAATCTTGTGTTCCGTATCCACTAGATGAGATAGGATAGCGCTGCGAATAGATTTTGTTTGTTCTTTACTTAACTAACCACGCAGAGTGATGTTTGGAAATTCGACGAGAAACGCGCCTAGTTGTACTGCCTATGTAACTGGCTCCACAGGAGCAGTTTAATTATCGTATACAAACAAATCTCAATTTCGCCGTAATAGTTCGACTACTAAATATTGCTGAGTCTGGCTATTGGGATCCATATTAACAAGCCTAATTTATGCATCCAAAAGAAGTTAGTTCAGACATTCTCCTTACCCAGCTGGCCATCTAGGTTTGAATGATCCTGAATTTTTGTGGAATTTTCCTAATTTTAGTTGATATTCTATTTGCTACTATATCTTTATTACTATTATTATAATTTAGACATCTTTAATGAACTGTAATTCCATTGTGATCTTACTTTACAAATCGATATTATTTAAAAAATACTAATATTGTTATTGACTACTAATCTAGAATATTCTATGTATATAAACATAGAGATATCTAATTGTAGAGCAAGAAGAGGAATTTATCGAAAGAGATATTCTTTTCTCAATTATTTTGCGTTTTATAAATCACACAGTGTTGTACCGTAATACTAAATGATGACCACGTTTCGAGCACAAACTGTTTTTGAGCTTCACATCTGTTCTTGCTTACTTTATCAATAAGATTTCAGTAGCCATGTATTCCATTGTCATCAATATAAATGTATTATTTAATTAACAGCACATTTTGACTAATTTTCGAATTAAATCTAAATTATTTCCGTCAAATCGACAAAATGCAGTTACTCAGCCTTCTTTCCCATTTCTTACATTCCAGAGTGGAACATAAGGCTACAGGCTTTAGGCGTCGAAGTTTCAGTAGAAATGGGGATGTTTTTCCGGGGTTGAGGTTGCTTGCCCCGTATGCATCCTTCTAAGTAGACGAGGTTGAAGACCACGTCGGCTAAACTAAGCTCCACGTCAGGGTGCCTTTTATTCTTATATCAGGTTGCTTAAAATGATAATAGTGGTTGAGATATTTTTGATAACATATGCTTGAATTTGTCGAAAAGTGTAAATTATTTTTAAGATTCTAGATATGTCCATCATATCTAGAATGTTTACATACACGAAATCTAGATTACTTAACAGTTCTTCGTGATGAGTTCCAACTAGCTCACTGATGCATGGAGAACCAACATTTCTCTGAAGTGAAAGAGTCAAGCGGGGAAACGTTATTGAGTAAGATGAAACAGAAACTACCATGAAAGTTAACTAAATTGTCTAACACAGTTGATGTATAGCTTTGACTAGTGATAGGTCAGTAAAATTAAGTCAGTTATTCTGAAAGACAACATTAAAAATAAACGTAGTGAAGTAATAACAAGCAAAATCCGGTTTCTTGTTTAATTATAGTTGCAAAAAGACAGATACTCTGCTCAGCATTTTACTAGATCTCACTAAAGTGACTAATCCATATCTCCAGCACTGTAACTCTACAAGAGGCCGGTTAGAACCTTATAGATTTGTGGTAACACCTGTCACCTCAGTACTGACTTGGTGGCCTCAACTCACAGATATGCCTTTCCAGTAAGCACGAAACTTACGTTCATAACTTTAAGATCTGGTTTCAAGTTCATTCAAATTATCTTTCGATAAAGAAAGGAAGATGAAATTTGTAAAATAAAATGATATCATCATTCTATTTCACAGGTTCTCATCAGCTTCAGACTTCCTGGAATTACAATGGTTATTGTAAATGATAATAACATACTTTAATGTTTAAGTGGTAGTAGAGAAAAATCCTATAAAATTGACGCATCAGAACTGTAAGCATTACAATCTCTAGTTTAACTTTCGACCATCGATCTACACGCTTTCATATTAGAAGAGAGAGAGGAGGGGTAAGACAGAAAACAGAGAAAATTAACAGAAACAGTTAGAGTTTCTAAGACTGATATTTGCTCAGTGAGTTGAGATCACTGAATTAGATGACTAAATAATATAACCAAAATCAAAGTTCAATTACGAAGGGAGTGAGAGATTAATCACACTCTCTTTCTGTATGCATAATTGCGGTTGGTTTGGATCGTTTGACTGCGATCACTTCACCAAATCGTAGTAAATTTGCTATCCTTTGTCTATTTAATATTTTGACGGACTTAGAAGACTCTACGATATGACCAGTATCGACAATATGTCTGGTAATTGCACTCTGGGAATATCCGCTTCCTTTCAGACACAGGTGTTTTGGAATATGTTCATAAAACCAGATAGAAGACTTTCCTTCCATCCTTCCAATATACTTGCTCCTGTAAGTGCACGTAAATTCATAAACGCAGTCGAGGATAACATCAGCAGGGTATTTATCCAGTTTTGAGAGGCTTATAGAGGAAGTAGTGCTGTGTAATATTATGAGTACAGCTGCAGGGAAGCTTTTTTTTATTGCTCCTTTCATTCTCTTGTGACACTGCATCTCCTTTGAATGGGAGAAGGGTAAACGGTTTCTTCTTTTCAACAGTCGGGTGTTTCTAATTACCTCCAATAGTTCCTAATTCCCTTACAAAGAACTAAATAAATTAGTTATCTATATCACTGAAATTAATTAAAATGGTACCT